CTTTAAAACATGGCACTTAAGCCGGCCTCAGGTCGACCTGGGATTTGCTTGCGCCACGACGGAACCGTCGGCAGCAAGCAGAAAAATGATACTAAGGTCACAAAACTGAGAAATCGTGTGATTCTCTTGAAACAAGCGGCATCCCGATGCAAAATATATCCTCAACCATGCTTTAGTCACCCAAGACGCGACGATCCACCACGATTCCCCAACATCGACAGCCATTTGGCTTCTTTGACATCAAGGGAATAATTATGTGCTTGGCCTTTTTTACTCGAGCCACTATCAGCGTGCATTCCTCTGATACGGTCTTAAATGCGCTTGTATTCTCATCACAAATACTTTTTGAGTTCAAAAGTTGACACAAGTCAAAAAATATACATTTCCAATGATTTTGTTGAACAGTTTTACTTCATTGCCTTTATAAACACCCCTCTAGTTATGGTTTACAAATATTGAGTGGCTTACCGTTGAACGGGAGGAATATTATCGCAAGGTAAAATCTGGACTTTTCCATATCACGAGGCGAAGCCGAGTGAACTGGAAAAGTCAAGATTTTACCGAGCGATAATATTCCTCCCATTTCACAATTTAAAGCCACTCAATATTTGTTTTATATAACTGACATAAAGATCCTTGTCATGTGATATATTTGAACTTTTTTCAATACAAAACTGGAGGAAAATGTATTTCTCTCTTCCAAACCACCCTTTCACGAAAATGTTTGAACCCAACGCTGTAGCGCTGGCTCTTTGGAACAACACGCGCTACGTGCAACGCGCTGAACGCGCACACCTGCATGCACTTGCACACAAATACCGCGTCATGATCCTAACTGTTGAATAGTATTTCCCATTCCCCATGGGCGGATAGTACTTTTTGAGCCGCGGCATGAATGGGAGCAATAACAAATGCCACGTGATGTGAGTTCCACCAATCAAATGACAAGGATCTGTATGTCGGTTATATAATATCGAATATCCTCTCTCAAGTAGTAGTAAACAATCTCCTTATATGGTGATTGACGTGCGCGTGGTGCGTACTGCGTGATGTTTCGCGGAACGCAGAGCGCTGGTATGTAGTGTGCTGATTGGCTACACAATTGAAAAAGGATGTCTTGATGCGTGCACGATAGCGATGTCGTCGGCACTTGTCGACGCGTAGTAGAAGTTTAAATTGTTCTACTCTTGCGACTGTTCACTTTTTTGGAGCGCGACTAATTACGATCGTCTTATTATCGTCGTAGTTACACCCAGGTAGCAAAGAGTAAAGGTTTAAATTATATAACCGACATACAGATTCTTGTCATTTAATTGGAGAAACTCACATCACGTGGCATTCGTTATTGCTCCCATTCATGCCGCGGCTCGAAAAGTATTACTATACCTCATACGTGGCCGTATCATACGTCCGACGCCTCATGGTCCGACGCCTCATAAGTCCGGACTAATTGGACTAATGAGGCGTCGGACTATGAGGCGTCGGACCTATGAGGCGTCGGACTTATGAGCGGACCCCCCTCATTCATATTCATGATCGAGAGCCGAACCCTCACTTGTCAATTCACCATCACGTGCCACGTGCCAGATGTTATTCTTGCTGTTCACGCACAGGGTAAATACGCATGCGTAGTAAACTGTCGCATGAGTTTCCCGTGCGACAGTCTACTACGCATGCGCTTTACGGAGCAATCGAGGAACTGTCACACGGGTGCAGTACGCACGCGCGAACATTGCCCAAGAGAGATGCATGGTTGCACGGTTCGCGTAAATGTGGATTTGCAGAGCTTAATGATGCCGTACTGGAGAAATTTTTGGACCGAGTAAAAATGTCTCATGTAGAAAAGGAAAGTTGTACACAAACAACTGTATTTACAACTGTAGTTATTGTATTATATTGCAAACGAACCGAACTAGTAATTAAAGTTGAATAACAACATTCTTGTGGTGAGCTGTACAAGACAAGTTTCCCGAATTTTGTTTTAGGTGCATATACAAAGCAAAATCGGCAAACTGAATATGTATGAAGTATAGTAAAACAAGTATAACATGGTTTATTTCGGGTGGACAGTCGATATTAGCTCCCCTCGGTATTGGAAGTTGACAAACTGGGGGGGGGGGGGGATATCGACTGTCCACCCTCAAACCATGTTATATTTGTATATTATACACCACCTGAATAAATCCCCGTCAACTGATTGGTGGATCGTTGATCACATGTCATTGAATTATTCCTACCAATGCACGGCGCGCGCGTGGCGTGCAGCGCTCTCGCAATGGAAGTACTATTCCACTATTAGGAGTACCATTGCACTGTCACTGCACATGTTGCTGAAGGTGGCGCTGTGGTGTTTAAATTTGCCATAAAAGTTCTGGACTTATTGAACTGTTTAAGTTCTAAACTTATGGAAAAGTTTTTGATAAAAATTGAGATAAATTGAATATGATAGTTCTCAACCTGTTGAAGAGTTTGCATAAACTCTGAACTAGTCAAACTTGTAAACAATTTTTAACTTGAATAAATTGGCTATTACAAGTCAACCAATCAGATGACAATGATTTATTCAGGTGCTATATAAAACAACTATTGAATGTTTCACGTTCGTGCAATAGAAAGAATAATTTCATTGAGTGACAGATGAAATGTTCCATTCCACTCGGCTTCGCCTCGTGGAATGGAACATTTCATCTGTCACCTCATGAAATTATTCTTACCATTGCACTAACAAACATTCATTATTTGTATACTATCCGCCCATGGGAAATGGGAAATACTATTCAACAGTTAGGATCATGTTGCGGTATTTGTGTGCAAATGCTTGCTGGTGTGCACGTTCAGCGTTGCGCGTAGCGCGTATTGTTCCAAAAGAGCCAGCGCTACAGCGTTGGGTTCAAACATTTTTGTGAAAGGGTGGTTTGGAGGAGAGAAATACATTTTCCTCCAGTTTAGTATTGAAAAAAAAAGTTCAAATATATCAAATGACAAGGATCTACATGTCAGTTATATGAAACAAATATTGAGTGGCTTTAAATTGTGAAATGGGAAGAATATTATCGCTTGGTAAAATCTGGTCTTTTCCAGTTCCAGTGGCGTAGCCAGGAATTTTTCAGTGGGGGGGGGGGGGGGGGGGGGGGGGTGCGGGGGCGCTGGGGGGGGGGGGGCTGGAACATTTCAAGGGGGCGTCATGTAGATCAATGATATTTTTTTTAGAAACTCAAAATCTCATGGGGGGGGGCGACTGGGGGCGATAAGGTTTCATGGGGGGGGGGGCTGTCGCCTATAGTTAACAGTACAATGATATTTCATCTCTTTTTTGCACCTATTTGTTTGCGGGATTATTACAAGTAATACTTTGTTTCCCCCTATTTATGTTATGTTCAGCATTACGACGGTACTCTGCCCCCCCCCCCACACCCCACCCATTGAACATTACGCAATGACTTTTTTTCAGCTGCTGATTAGGTTTTTCTTGGTATTCAGCATTATCGATTACCATCCTTCACATATTTTAATTCTGCTTGATTATTGCTTTTTACTACTTGTTATCCATAACGAGATTGACTTTTTTATTCATGAACTGATAACACAACAAAATAGTGAATTTCATGTCTACGGTACACGTAAACTGCCCTATCTAATATTACAGCCTCTCTGAAGGTTCGTGCACAAACACACACACATACTAGTTGTTTCCATCTTCAAATGTATATAAGTATGTCTGTTAGCAGCATGTGTGCCATCGCCATGATTTCAACCTCTGCAGTCCACTTTCCAGAGCCAAACATTTTGTTTTTGCCTCATGACATATTCCTCCATGTTAAAAAAACTTGTCGTAGAAAACCATTGAATGTATCTCCATTTGCAACATGTGATTGATAGTTTCCATTCTTATCTGCATGTGATTATCTTCAGTTACGACGGTACTTTGTTTTCCCCAATGGATTAGCTTTTCTCCATAGTTAGCATTACGACGGTACTTTATTTTCCCACGGTTGATTGGGTTTTTTTTGTATTCAGCATTATCTTTACCATCCTTCACATCTTTCAATTCTGCTAATTTAATGTTTTTTACTCCATGTTGTCCATTACAAGATTGCCTTCTTGATTCATAAACTGACAACACAACAACATAATGGATTACATGCCTACGGTCCATGTGAAATTCCTCATCTAATGCTTAAGCCCTCTCTCTCAAAGGTACTTGCAGAAAAAAAACAACGTATCTTTATT